ATCAGGATGTGTTATCCCAACCACTGTTTTTTCTTGCATAATCTACATTATTTATGGTCATGATCTCCTAATTGTCCCAGTTATCTGATAAGTGGAGGGGGGAAAGGGCGGGTCAGGGAATTCTTGGCAGAGCACAGCTGTGCTGGGCATCAGATGCTGCTTTTTGAAAGCCTTCCCAGTGGGAGATGATAATGGGCTGAGTCTCATCCCTCTGCCCTGGGGAGGCTCCAGGGAGCTGGGAACACCCTTGAATTCACTGTAATGAGAATTTCTAAGATGGAGATTGCAAAGATGTACCTGATCCATGGATCAGGTTCTTCCATTATCCCCTTTATAGACTATTACCATGTAGAGTGGAATAAGCGTGGAAAAAATACAGCTTTAATCTTCTCCTGAGCTTCTTTTTAATGCTGACATTACTGCTCAGGCCAGTGTCAGCCTCAGAGCACCACAGAGGTTCCAGCAGCGCTCCCTGCTAGAAAACCAGGGCTACTTAAACTGGAAGAAGAGGGTTTAGGTGGGATATTGGGAAGAAATTGTTCTCTGTGAGGGTGGGGAGGCCCTGGCACAGGTTGCCCAGAGAAGCTGTGGCTGCCCCTGGATCCCTGGAAGTGTCCAAGGCCAGGCTGGACGGGGCTTGGAGCCACCTGGGCTAGTGGGAGGTGTCCCTGCCCATGGCAGGGGGTGGGATGGGGTGAGCTTTGAGGTCCCTTCCCACCCAAGCAATTCCAGGATTCCAGGATTCTATTTTGAGGAGAAATCTCACATTTCCTGCTCTGGGGGGATGGTGGGCAGGAAAAGCCCAGGGAGCATCTGCCACGGGGGGCCACACGTCCAGAAGGGCATCAGCGAGGGGGCAACGACCCAGGGGAGACCAGGGTGGGTTTAGTCCTTGGGAGATGGACTGGGATGACCCTGGGATGAGCACAGGCCCCACGGATCCCCTTGGTGAGCAGAGTCCACCATGGGGCCAGGGGACACTTGGCTCGCCCGCCGCGCTCCCCCCGCAGACAATGCCCTCATTGTATTCAAATCTGATTCATTTCATCCAGAGGATAAAATTAGAAAATCAGCCTAATTCCCAGGAGCCTTGTTAAATCAATACAACATACATCAAGCAGGCAAGGCACAATGCAGGGCTGAGATAAAATTAGAATGAGTCCCCCTGGGTGGGTTGATATCAGCTCTACATTTCGGAATTGGCAGGCACTTTTGCATAATTTATCAATTACAAACAATTTAATTCATCCAGAATAATGAGTTGCGGGGCAGCTTTTGGTGAGTTAAATGACACAGGGGGCGATGGCCGTGGTGGACTCAGAGGAGCACCCACCCAAAATCAAGTTATCCCAGGGGCAGAGGAGGGCAGGGGACCGTGGGGGGACCCTGGGCTGGCAGGGCCTCCAAAAATGTGGATGGTGCAGCGGAGATGACTCTGCTCTAGGTGAAGAGACAGATGGGACACAAGGCAAGGGACACCAAAAAGAGATGCAAGGCTTCCCCACCAGCACCCTGGAGCCAAGAGTTCCGAGCAGCCCCAGCACTATCTCGCTGTCCCAGCAAGGGAAACACAAAAAGGTTAAGGGTAGGTTATTTGAAAGAACAAAAGTGATAAAAATCAAAAGCCTTTCTGCTGCTGAGAGGAGCCTTTAGAAGGTTCTGAAGCATTTCCTTCCTGCAGCCCTCTTTTGTTCCTCTGCCCATTGCCCCGGCGGGGCCTGAGGGCTCCTCCGGCCGCGGCCCCGCTCCGTTCTCACCGAGAACAATAGGGATGGCTCTGGGAGAGGGCAGCTGGAGCTGCACGCCAGGATGACACCCCTTGGAAATGCCTCCTTCCCTTCCCGTTCCCCCCTCCCCGACGGAGCACCGGGATCCTGCTCACTTGCTTTCAAGCCTCACACAGATATTAAAGCCAAGAAGTTAAGTGGTGCATAATTATGGCATTGTAGTTGCTAATTATAATCCCACAACGAAAGCAGGGCTGTGCAGGGACGGCCGCAAAGACCTGATGGTTTGGAGCAGGCTCATTCCTGAGCCCTCGGAATTCCTCGTTAAAGCCATGAGAACTTGCAAGGAGGATTCAGGGAAAGGGAGAGGCGGATAAAAACTCCCCCAGCCCCGTTAACCTCCTCCCAGCCCACGTGCCCAGGGATTGGCTTCCAGAGCCTTTGAGGAGATAAATGTTATGGAGCTGGTGCAGAACCGATGGAGCATCCAGGCACAGCCCATGGAGTGTCCAGGCACAGTCCATGGAGTGTCCAGGCACAGTCCATGGAGCATCCAGGCAGAGCCTATGGAGCATCCAGGCACAGCCCGTGGAGTGTCCAGGCAAAGCTCAGGGATAACCCAGGCACTGTCCATGGACCATCCAGGCAGAGCCCATGGACCATCCAGGCACAGCCCATGGAATGTCCAGGCACAGTCCATGGACCATCCAGGCACAGCCAAGCCAGTGCAACAACACAGCTCCGGGTGCAGATCCGCCCTCTCCAGCCTTTCCAGCCCGGATCCATCCCTGGCTCTTTCTATCCCACTCTGGAGCAGCCTAATAGCTCTGTCCGCTCTCCATCCCAGAGGTGATTTATGAGGTAATTTGTGTCTCCTCGGCGGTGCCGGCCCCGTGTCACCGTGTAATGGGATGATGGAGGTGCCGGCGCGGGCACCGGGCACCGACACCGCGGCAAATGGGACCCGTCCAAACTCCAGGGCCCGGGATCGATTCGTCACAATTTCTGCACCTTTGGTTTTGCTGAGAAAAGAAAGATAAAAAAACTATAGAAATGACAGTGGCTCGCCGGGGCCTGGCTCCTGCGGGGAGCCGGGATGGTGGAGGGGACTGGGATGCTGCCGGGATGCTGCCGAGCCTCTGCCCAGATCCTGAGAGCTGGGGGTGCACGTGGCCCAGGACTCAGCTGGATGAAACCCAAATTCCTAATGACTTTTCCATGGGTGTTCCATGCTTTGCATTGGGAGTTGGGTGCCTGCATCACCCAGTATGGCTGGGAGAGAGGGGAAGGATGGGAGGGATGTCAGGGTGGGAGGGATGGGAGGAATGAGGAGGGATGAGGGGGATGGGAAGGATGAAGAGGGATGGGGAGGGATAGGGAAGAATGGGAGGGATGGAGAAGGATGGGGGGGATGGGAAGGGGGTGTCCAGCATGGGCAGGGCACAGGGAGTCTGTGGCTCCTTCCCAAGGATGTTCCCCCCCACCCCGTGCCAGGCCCAGCCCCATCCACCCCCCGCAGTGTCAGCAGCGGGTTCCAGCAGTAAATGGGGCGCTGGTTAAAGCCCGGGCTGGAAACCACAGCGTGCTCTAATTCACACTGGAATTTCTATTTATTAAGGTAATTAACCCGCTCAGGGAGCTGCGCTGGGAGCAGCGCGAGTGAATCACCGCTCCGGGGAGCAGAGCCAGGGCCAGGACCCCGCGGAGGAGCGGGATCAGGAGGGGCGCAGCCTCCAGCCCCCTCCTCTAACCCCCCAGTCCGCCCCAGTGTCTCTGCCGCTGGACTGGAGCAGCCGAGCGGGACAGGGCTGACATCCCGCCCCTCCGTCAGGGATTGCAGCAGCCTTGGACACACGGGGAAGCTGCGGCACGGCCGGGGCGTGGGGCTGCGCCCAGGATCTCCCACAGTGATAACCATCGGCCCAGGGCGCGGTCGGCATCAGCAGCTCAAAGGGGATTAGCAGGGAAGTGCCGCTGGATCCCGGGACGCGCAGAGCTCGCCCGGCGCTGGCAGGCCGGGTTGGTTTTCGGGAGGTTGGGATGTACGATAGGGATCTGCCGCAGCCCTCGGTGAGGCACCGGGCACACCCTGCCCGGGAACGGCCCCGCTCCTCCATTCTCAGCTCCCCCAGACAAGGCACTGGATGCTGGAGCAGCCTGGGGGTCACTCTGGATGCTCCTGACCCCAGACCCACCTGGGATAACTTAGGACAACCCCAGGAGGCTGGGGTTATTTCATAGAATCATGGAACAGTTGGGGTGAGAAGGCACCACCCCCTGCCATGGGCAGGGACACCTCCCACCAGCCCAGGTTGCTCCAAGCCCCATCCAACCTGGCCTTGGACACTTCCAGGGATCCAGGGCCAGTCACAGTTTCTCTGGGCAACCTGTGCCAGGGCCTGCCCACCCTCACAGCCAAGAATTCCTTCCCAATACCCTGTGTAACCCTGCCTTCAGTCAGTAGGAAGCCATTCCCCCTTGTCCTGTCACTTGTTCGAGGTCCCTCTCCGGCTCTCCTGGAGCCCCTTTAGGTGCTGGTTTGGCTCTCAGCTCTCCAAGCGCCAGCACCAGGGCAGGATGAGCTGGCACACATGGAAAAAAAAAAAAAACACAAACCCTAATGAAGCCAACCAGAAGAACCCAGCGCTAATGAGCAGCTGGAAATCAGCAGCCAAAACCTGTTTTGGCTCGGGGTTGCCGCCCCGACGTGCCAGACGGGGCCGGGAGCTCCGGGGGAGGAGGAGGATGCCCCGAGGGCGCTTCGCAGATGAAACGGGGTTTTGTAAATCCGCGTCTGCACCCAGGGCTGGAGAAGGGCTGGTCGGGGCCGGGAGGGAGCACCCAGCGCCCTGACTCACCCGCTCCTCCGAAGGGTGCCCGAAACCCGCCCTCGGCTGCCCGGCCCGACGCAGCTTCACACGCCCGAAAAACACCAGGGAGGCAAAAGGGAAAGTAAAATCTGATTTCAGCACTTTCTGCCTCTTTTTTCCGCCCCCCCCTCTCCTTTAATTCCTTGTTATTATTTTTATTAGCCTCGCTGCTTTGGCTGCGGGGCCTCTCGCAGAGAATGGAGTGTCGCGTGGGTGTTACCGGCTGCTGGCGCTTTCCCCGGCTTCAGAAAGAAATGCCAATTACTAATTTCATGGAGATAAGCCATTCCGAAGGAGGGGAGGAAAAAAAATAAAAAGAAGGGGAAAAAAAAAATCTCCCAGCTTTGAAATGCGAAAGGCGCCTGCATTCATTCGGTTATTTATTTATTTATATCCATGTCAGGGACACTGGGATTGCTCAGTTCGGTCCCCAGACAGAGGGATGGGAGCAGCACCCGAGGGGCATCTCTGGAAGATGGAATTAAGGTATACATGTCTGTGTGTTGGAGTTGTGTGTCTGTGTGTTCACATGCACACGTGACCCTGTGCCGATGTGGATCCTGCATCCAGCTGGATGTGGTTCCCAATCCTGTGAGCCTCAGGGCCTCAGCCTTGTATTCCACTGGTATCCCACAGTATCCCACCATCACCAGCACAAGGCAATGCCCATCCCAGCTCCTGCCTCCCATCCGGCTCCCACAGCCCCGTAAACACCGAGGGCAAGGGCTGGGGAGGGAAAATAATGGTGCCCGGAATTAATCTGGGTGTAGTTTGCATTTTTATTGCTCCAGCCTCAGATTCCAGCCTACAGAAAGGTTTCAAAAAGGATTAGATGCCATAAAACCTTTAATAATCCTCCCACATCTTACGTTTAATTATTGTTTTTACACATGCGGAGCCAACACGCCTGCAGCGAGCAATCAGCCATCACATGCCACTCCTCCTGCTTTGCTGCTCTCCCGAGTGTCTCCGGCGGGATTAACCAGCACCCGGTTTTCCACGGCTCACCCCTGCCATGGCTGGGAGCTCTCCTCCTTCCCAAAAACACTCCTCCCCCCACATACAGCCCTATATAGGCTCACCCCGGCTGCAGGCGGCTCACTCCCCTCCAGCCGGCATTGGGGGGACAGGGATGTGCTCCGTGTGCTCCGTGTGCTCCATGTGCTCCGTGTGCTCCATGTGCTCCATGTGCTCCATGGGACCGGAGCTGCTGGGGGGACACAGTCTCAGTGTCCTCGTCAGAGCCACTGAAATCACTCTTGGCCTGGAATTACAAACAAATCCTCATCTCCAATTATAAACCTCCTGCTTGGAAGGAACATTTTGTCGCTAATTCGGTGCCATCGAAGTTGTTGCTGTTTGATGGGGGGGGGGGAATCAGACCTTTTAATCATTTTTTTCACCTCAACAGCTTCTCCTTGAGCCGAACAGCCGTGGAGAGGTTTCATCTGTGAGGAGGGAAAATCACACGAATGTGAAACACATCCCAGTCGCTTTTCTAGGAATATTTTAGAGGCTCCATTATTCAGAATAAACTGTTTCAAAGCACCTGTCACCCTGCTGAGAGTGGCTCTGCACCCCACAGGGATGGCACAGGGTGTCACATCCACAGGGACACGGTCCTGTGGGGACAGACACAGGGAATGGGGCATGAATAACTGGGAGGGGATGAATAACTCCAGCGGGCAGACTCTGCTCCACTAGGCTTCCAGTGAACTGGCTTATTATTATCATTATTCATTATTATTGTTATTATTATTCATTATTATCATCATTATCATTATTGTTGTTGTTATCTTAAGTGCTGTTTCCCCTGTTGCCTGCAGCGTGACTCAATGGGGGATGAGTTTTCCCAGATATTTCTGGACTGGGGGAACCAGCCAAGGCCAGAGCAGCTTTTCCACTCCTGTGCCTGCTGCTGCTCCCCTGGGACAAGACATTTTTCAGCAAATCCCTTTCTCTTCAGGAATTTTTCCCATTTTGACCCAATGGTGAGCTGGGATGGCCCCAGTGTGGGCTCCTCTGGTCACCTCCCAGGGCTGGTACCCAAAAATGCCTGGAAGCAGAGCGTGCTCCGTCCCTGGAAGTGTTCCAGGCCAGGTCGGATGGGGCCTGGGGCAATCTGGTCTCGTGGAAGGTGTCCCTGCCCGTGGCAGGGCTGGAATGAGATGAGCTTTAAGGTCCCTTCCAACCCAAACCATTCCAGGCCGGCAGCCTCCAGATCAGAGCCTCAGGAAGCTGCTCAGGGTGCAGGCAGAGCTCTGCGTGAGCTGCTCTGAGCCCTTTATCCTCTGAAACATCAAAAGTTTCAATTATTCTGGCTGTGACTCATTTCTGATGAAGACTTTTCTCAGAAGCAGCTCAGTAGGTGGGACAGGCACCCGGGGCTGTGCAGCATCAGCAGAGCCATCAGAGCCACCTCCCTGAGGGGACTTTGCTCTTGTTTGGGAGGATTTCGGGGTCTGTGCCCAGAGGAAGCCCCTCAGCTGGGCACAGACACATGGAACAATCACTCATTTCTTTTGGTCCCATTAAAATCTTGCCCTCCAAAACCCAGAGCAGCGGGACAAAGGCGGCCTGTGCTCCCCAGATGTTTTATTCATGCACAGCCTGGAAGCACAAACAAGCCCAGCTATTCTGCTGCCCCAATCCTGCCTTTGTGCTCCGTGGCTGTGGGGATGGGAATGGCAAAGAGGGGCTGGATCCTCCCTGCCACATGGGACTTGTTCCTCTGCCACCAGAGCGGCTGCTCCCCCCTCCAGACTCGCTCAGAACGGGCTGGTTCAGCACCAGAAGTTGCAATTCTTTCCCAGTTTCTCTAGTTGATGGCACTCCCTCATCTGGGGCCTCAGGACCGGCGTGTGATCCTCTTGAGGACATGGGGACAGTCCTTGCTCCCAAGCCGGCCCCAGCAGCAGGAAAAGGCCACCTGCAAACAAAGCAATAATAGAAGAGTCAGCCTTAGTCTCACCCTGATCGTTCCTAATTGAATATTAACACCATCTTGATCTTCCTCTAATGCTCCATTTAATCTGCATGTTTGTCTTTTTTTCGGTGGGGGCAGAGGATTTGTCAGCTTGGGCACATGTGGAGCCAGGCTGTGGCTCCTGCAAGTGGAATTGGAGAGCTAATTCCATATGGAAATAATTGCAAATTCAACTGTTGGAGTCGTTAGAGAGGAAGTTAAGTCCCAGAGCCCAGGGATTCGGGTGCTCAGGGCAGGGAGGTGGCATCACCCCAGCCCTGCTCAGCAGGATGGAGCAGAGCTGCAATGGGGGACAGGGCCATGCCAGGGTGGGAGACATGGGCACCTTGGGGTGGGTGACATGGGCACGTCGGGATGGGGGACATCACCATCTCGGGGTGGGGGGACACGGGCATCTTCAAATCTCCATCCCCGTGTCCATCTGGCTCTGAATTCCTGGTGCTCACGGTGAGGGAGACCCCGTTGGCCACGGCAAAGCCAGATCAACATCCGAGGGCTGGCAGCAACCAGAGCTCCAGGAGTGACTTTATCTTCCTGCTCGAACCTTCTGTGCTCAGGGTTCCCAACACGTCCTTGGACACGAGACAAACAGGCACCAGACGAGAACAAAACCGTGAAAAAACCTATTTAAAACCACCTGTGGTGTGACTGGGTGGCACCGTGTCCCCTCCCCCGGAGCAGGGCTCGGCCACCCCCCATCCCACACAGCACCGCCCTCCCGGCCCGTCCCCGTCTGCCCATCCCACGCCATCCTTCCCACTTCTCCAGGAACACCGGCGGGTGGCTGGTGACTAATGGGCCGGTCCCATCCCTCCCAGAACCAGGATAACCCCGAGGGATGCGCCGGCGGAGGAAGGTGCTGCGGGCAGGCGTTAGCACGGGAGGCGTGCAGAGAGCGCCGCTGCCAGAAATACCAGAGGAATTAGCAAACTGGGTTGCAGCTCTCAAGTGAAACCACTTATTGAGGATGGACTGTTCCTTCTTGTAATCCTCTGTCATCAGCACTCGCTGCGAAAATTTAACCGTGTCAGACTGAGGCGGCCCCGCGGGCCCCGGGGCTACTGCTGTGGGTTGGGAGACTCACTCGTTACCCAACCAGCGCTATTTGCAAGTCAAGTGGGTTTCTTTCTTCGCCTTGTAATTGCTGAGGGCTGGGAAAGCCTTACTAAGCAGCCGTCTGGTGCTGAGGTGTGCCGGGCTCACACCGATCCCAGCCCCTGGCTCCTCTCCTGCCACCGGACACCAGGCCAGGGGGATGCAGGGGGATGTGTCAGGGCTCCAGCAGACTTTGGGGGATGCACCTTCCTCTGTGTGTGGTGGCAGTGGCAGCCACACGGGCCTGCTCTGTCCCCTCCTCGTGGTGGCTTCAGGAGCGATGTGCCCACAACTCCACGTGCTCCGGGATGCCTTCAGGAGGGGAACACCAAAAATCCATTGTAATCCAGTGGCATTTCAGTTTCATTAGGGCTGACAGGACAGAAAGCTCGAGCAGGTCAGCTGCTCACCCTGCTCTAAAGGGACCAGAGGGAACAGCCCATCCAGGGAGTCACAGAAGCACAGAATGGTTTGGGTTAGAAGGGACCTTAAATATCATCTTGTTCCACCCCTCTGCCATGGGCAGGGACACCTTCCAGCAGCCCAGGTTGCTCCAAGCCCTGTCCAACCCAGCCTTGAACACCTCCAGGGATGGGGCGAGGAGAGCTGGGTCAGGGAAGTTTAACCCCCTTAATATTTATTTGAGGGACTTTCACATGGACAATGCTCAGAGTGTACAAAACACCTGGTGGCCAAGAAAGCGGGGAGAGAAAAGGCCTTTCCAATGCAGTGCCAACGTAAGAGGAAAGCCAACCCAAAAGGAAAGGGATAAAGGGAGCTGCCCCTGTTATTTACTGGGAACAAATAAAAACCTGGTGAAGGAGGAAGCTTAGAAAGAAGATGGAGCAACTGCCAGGTGAAGGAAGCTTTGGCCTCCCAGGGGCACGGGGAGTTCGTCTGGGGTTAGGCCAGACCTGGTGACACCCAAAACTGATCCCTTCAGCGCTCGGCCTTGCGCGCCAACCCCTCGCTTTGGCCCCTGAGCTGTGTCATGTCCCAGCCTCCTCCTGAGCATCTCGAGGCCTCTGCCTCCGATTGCCTCTGGATGTGCAGCAATTTGGAAATGAGTCGCCCTTCTCTCGGGCTTTTGATGTAGCCCGGGAGGAGGTGCGTGGTGAGCAGTTGCTTCACTGCTGTTTGTGCAACCTCGCTGCAAATCCCTTATTATTCACGATGCTATCTTGCCACTTGATATGCATAATAGCTCAAAGGTACCGTTGACTACATTTTTCCAGCCCTTTGATGTGCCAGCGATAACTTGTTTCTGTTTCGCAGCCATTAAGTTCGGTGGAAATCATTACACTGCCTTAAACGTGGGGCTTGTTCTTTAATCAGCGCCTGTTCTGGTCCCAGCCTCGCTGTTGCAATCTGCCATACGTGGAAAATATCCTCTTAACCCAGGTTAACAATTCTGGAGGAAGTGAGAACAGCTTAGCAGAGTTTCTTCAAGGTCAGAGATCGAGGGCTGAGTCCTGGCAGGAGGCTCCAGCATCCCTGGGGGTGCAGCAGCTCCCTGGATGGTGCTGCTGGGTGTGTGCTTTGAAGAAGTGCCCGTGGCATGGACCAACCTCCCCCAGGGTCAGACACACAGGCACAGGCCAAAGCCACCCAGAGCTGGCCCTGTAATTCACAGAATCACAGAATCCTGGAATGATTTGGCTTGGAAGGGACCTTAAAGCTCATCTTGTTCCAACCCCTGCCATGGGCAGGGGCATCTCCCACTAGCCCGGGTTTCCCAGGCTGTGTCCACCCTCGAGGGCACAGGAGCATGGCCAAGGTGTCTCACACAGCAAGAGGGGAGCAGAGCAGGGAGAGGCTCAGCACAAAGCGGCAGCCCAGCAGCTCCAGGAGGGAGCCTGGAAGAGCACTGCTCTGAAATTCAGGAAGAATTTCTTCCTAGAAAGGGCTGTCAGGCATTGGAAGGGGCTGCCCAGGGAGGTGGTGGAGTCTCCATCCCTGGAGGTGTCCAAGGAAGGCCTGGCCGTGGCACTCAGTGCTCTGGGCTGGGGGACAAGGTGGGGATTGGGCACAGGATGGACTCGGTGATCCTGGAGGTCTTTTCCAACCTCGGTGACTCTGGGATTCTGGGATCCTGTGCTCCTCACAGAGCCCCTCGAAAGCCAGCATGGTTTCCAAGTGAAGGTTATATTTGCTTTGCAAAACCTCAAACCACCTGTCCCACGAGTGCTCGACAGAGACCAGTGAGAATGGGAAAATCTTCTCCCATTAACCCCTCGCTGCCAGGGCTGGACTGGGAGCAGGATTCTCACCCCGGGGACGGGGCTGGCGCCCAGCTCTGCCGCCCACAGGGGCACAGCTGCCACGCTCACGTTTGCCTCTCACACTCATCCGAGGGCTCTGGCGAGCGACGATCCGGTTTCGTTTCCTGCTTTCTTGCAGCCTCGGCGTGTTTGGTTTGGCCTCCCGTGTCAGCGACATGAAAGCCTCGGCTATAAATACACCCCGTGTCTCCGAAGGCTTCGTGGCGTTTTCCTGCCCGTGCTCTTGGTCCCTTTGGGAAGCCGGGAGCCAGGAGGAGCACATGAGCCGGCTCCGGCTCCAGTGATGCCGGTGGAGCAGTTCCCAGCCTGGGACAGCCCTCAGACAAAGCCACCGGCCCCTCCAGAGCCCTGCTCGGCTTGCAGATGTTTATCAGGGCCAATACAGCTGCGCTGGCTCTTTGCACAAGAGGAAGGGGAGGTTCTGCAGCGATGAGCTGATCCCCAGCCCTGGGAGCTGAGCTCGGGGGTCACGGTGGTGCTGAACCCCAAAGGGCTTTGGCACTGCTCATTCCAGGAGCTCCCAAACACCTCCAGGGCCTGCTGGCTGCAGACACTCCACCAAGGCCCTCCCCGGGGCCAGGGTGCCCGGCTTGTCCCACCAACGTTCCCGCGGTGGCCCGGGCAGTGTTCCATGGAGCGCCCACGGGGTAAACACGGACACAGACACAGTAGCAGCCCAGTAATTACGGCCCTAATTCAGCAAAGCATCCCCACTTGTAAGGCACCTAAGCATGTGCTTAAAGCTAATTACATGCTTAAAGATCTTTCCTGAATAAGCATGGATTTGAGGCTGTGTTTGGTACCTCCTGTACTTAACTGTGATTCAGCCAAACACCTCCCCTACAACCCAAACCCGTCGGGAAGTGATTTCGGAGCCCGGCTCCAGCGCTGGAAACCAAACATCCCTGCGCCTCTCTCTGCAGGCTCGCTTTGTAGATATGAAAATAAATATCCTTCAGACTCTTATGGCTTTGTTTTCCTGCTGCCACTTCCCTCCCTGCAAGCCAGCCACTTCCAGGCTGGTCGGGAGCTGCAGAGACACGTGAAATGGCTTCTCTGACGGGATCGGATACTGGGGGGGGAAAAGCAGGACAGAAAAGGCCTCGGTCGAAACTGCCCCGCTGTGAGACGGCAGAGCTGAGCCCGCTGCCCTGCTCACAGTCACATTTTCCACCGCATTTGCATCTCTCTGCTCTTTTCTCGCTTTCCTCTGAGCAGCTTCTGCTCCACGCTCGTGTGTGAACCCGGAGCTGTGGCTGCTGGTGGCCGTGTCCCCACCACAGGTTCACCGCCGGGGCCGGGGCCAGGACCCTGCTCGGGGGGGGCCGAACCCCCCCAGCAGCACAAAGAGCTGTGGTTGGAGCAGACGAGGGGCTGGTTGGAACCAGCTGCCCCCGCGGTGGCTTCTGCTTTTAGAGTCATTTCTTTAACAAATCAGGGCGAGGGTTTTCAAGAGAAAAGGATTTCTAAGCAAGTGGTTTGGGGGTTTTGCTACTGGAATTCCCCAGGGAAACATTCCCGGGCCCAGAAAACCCAGTGGAGCCACCGGGCTGCTTCATAATCCAGAGAACCCAGAGACCTGCCTGGGATGCTGTCATTCTATTCAGCATTTGAGAGCCTTAAGAGGGCTTTTTTTCAGTGGAGTTTCTGGCACATATCACATGCTGTGGCATGTGTGGCTCTAAACAGGGCCTCAGAATGAGATGCACTTCACCAGAAGAGCTGGTTTTCCCCCAGACACCCCTGCCTGGCAGGAGGGTGCTGAACACCAGTCCCTCCCTGTGCTGCCCCATCACCTCGACTCGGGCTCTTCCCACTCTGTCCCTGGCCCTGACTGTTTCAGTGGGGCCACCCTTCCTCCATTAGGCAATTCCTCCCCTAAACCAGTCCCTAACCCAGCATTCCCAATGGATTTGACCAGAACCATGGCCCTCAAGTGCTCTGAGGATGGTGGGAGCTCCACGACCTCTGCCAGTGCCTCCCCCAGTGCTCAGCCACCTTCACCAGCACAAAGTGCCTTCCCCAGGCTCCCTTCCCACCCGAGGGATGGCCACAGAGCCCATCCTTTGGTGGGACACAGCCCTGCAGCCCCAAACAGCACGGATCCCTTGGCAGAGCATTTGGGATGCTGTGAGTGCCAGTGCCAGGCACCTTCCCAGCACTGCCAGCCAGGAGCTCTCGGAGCTGCAGATAAAGTTATCAGCAGCATCTATTAGCAATAACAAACAATATCAGCCTCGCTCATTGTTGTAGGCTGGGTTATTAGTGCTGGAAAAACAGCTCCCCGGACACCCCGGGAGCCAGCGAGATTCATCTGTGTCTCATTAGCACAGCCTTCCTCCTCTGTTTGTTCTGCTAAAATTAACTCTCCTCCTGGAAAATAAAGAAGTGGAGAAACACCCTCCCTTCCCTGGCACAGCCTGGCACTGCCTGGCACAGCCTGGCACAGCTCGTCCCACGGCTGACCCCGGCCCTAAGGCCTCCCAGTGGGTGGAAGGGACCAACACCAAAGCCAGGACAGCCCCCTGATCCCATGAGCTGCTCCATCCTCCAGCAGAACACACATCCCATGGCTGCTCTGCGAGGAGAGCTGCAGGAAAAGCTGCATCCCCAGAGGCAGAAATGCCCTGGAGGGAGGGTTGGCTGCAGCCCCTCTCTGCCACCCTTCACTTCCATCACCTCCCACCACGAGCTCCCCCAGATGTCACAGAGTCACCTCCCTGCCTCCCCTGCCTGCCCCAGAGCCCTCCTGACAGGGACAGTTCCACCCCTTCCATCCCACAGGGACCCATGCCCGGGAGCATCCCCAGGTGGGACCTGCCTGCACCTCCTGCCCACACCACACCTGCAGCCTGGCTGGGTTCTGGGGTGGTTCCCTGGCTGGGTCCCCCCATGGATGACCCTGCTGTCCCCTGGGAATGTGCCCCCAGAGCAAAGGTGGCCCCACCGTGGGTGTGAAGAATTAGAGCTCAAATGGAGAGGTACCATCAGCAGGGCAGGACATGAGTAATTGGGGTAGGATGGGGTTTTCCCAGGCAGAGCACACAGACCCAGGGACTTCTGTGTTTGTGTTCACATCTACTTAACCCCGTGGATCAGTTAATGCTCCTGTAAAATTACATCTGTTACTCGTCAGGCTCAGCATTTCCATTCGGCTGCCAAAGCCGCCTGGATATTTATAAAACAAGCCAAAACCAACCCAAAGCCTCAGGCCCACACAGTGAAGGTTTGTCAATCACAAGGAATCAAAAAGAAATCAGATCTGTGGGCACAGACCTGCACAGCACCAGGACTGCAGTGAGTTTGTGGGGTCTGACAGCAAATAACCCGAGTCTGGACCCAAACCCACACCTGGATCACACAAGAGGAGGTCACCTGATGGCTGGAGATGCTGAGGTGGGATTCAAGGGTAAGCTGGGCCCCCTGTACCCAGCTGAGCTCCGTGGAGTGACAGGGAGAAGGACACAAATGGCACTGATCATCAACATTCCCAGTAAAATCCATAAAAAATGAACCCCAGAGCAGCACAGGATGACCCCAGAGCTCTGTGCCCAGCACATGCCCACCCTGTGAGCCAGATCCCTCTTCTGGTGGGAAGGAGACCCAGATCCAGGCACACCCAGGATGTTCTGAAGGTTATAGGTCAGAAAGGATTTTTTTTTCATAGAATCATCAAATAGTTTCGGTGGAAAAGGACCTTAAAGCCCATCCAGTCCCACCCCCTGCCAAGGGCAGGGACACCTCCTGCTATCCCAGGCTGCTCCAAGCCCCGTCCAACCTGGCCTTGGACACTTCCAGGGATCCAGGGGCAGCCACAGCTTCTCTGGGCAACCTGTGCCAGGGCCTGCCCACCCTCACAGGGAATAATTTCTTCCCATTATCCAACAAAACTTAGTTTTCTGTTTTATATCTTTTAACACTGAGCTTGGTGTTTAGGAAGTGAAACACCAACAACACCAGCAGAGACTGGGCAGCAACTGGGCAGCAACCGGGGGGCAAAGTCTCTGTTCTGCTGCAAGAACATGAAATTCTGTAACACCACAAGGTGTTAACCCCGTGAGGTCGGAGCTCCTCAGCCTTCCAGAGGAGCCACAGAGGCAACTGCTCCTGCTGGGAGGATAGAAAACAAACCAGACCCCTCATCCTGGAATGCCGTGGTGCAGCTGGAGCAGCCCTGTGCCCATCAGCACTGATGGAGCAGCACAGCTGTGCCATGGGATGGGCAATGTCCCCTGCCAGGCTGTGCTGAGGGGCAGCTTCGGCTCTGCCCACCGGGGGGAATGGCCTAACTGAGGGAGAAATGCTGGAATCTGGGCACAGGGAGACTGCAGTGGTGTCCCAGGTGAAGCCATGGGGAGCTGTGGTGGGAAGGGATGTGTGAGAGAACAGCTGGAACTGAGGGGGCCTTGGAAGGGGTTGGTGTAGCATGGCATGGCATGGCATGACAACTCGTGGCATGGCATGACAACTCATGGCATGGCATGGCCCAGGGCATGCACAGAGCTCACCAGGCATGGGAGCTCTGCACCCCCATGAAAGCTTTTCCACACCACAACAACCCCCTAAATTGTCCTTTTAGAACAGGGGGTTGTAGAGCTCTGAAGGAAACCGGAATAAAATCTTCTCCCTCACGCCCCTGCCGGGAAGCCAAAGTCCTGGGCTGAGTGGGCCGGGCTGTGCCATTTTGCTGTGTTATTTAGCTGCACTGGAAATGAAGGATGAAGGTGATAAAGGGTTTATTTTAGCAGGCAGCAGCCACTGACTGCTGGTAACGCACCGAGGCAGAGCTCAGCTCCGCCGGCCCCATTCCCATTCCAGTCACGTGCCCCCAAAATTGCAAATGGAGATTTGTTACATTTCATTTGCTCCCATCCCTGGGAAGCCATTTGCGATGAGTTCACGTCTCCCAGGAGGCTCCATTCCAATCAAAGGGAAAAGAGAGAAGGAAAAAAAAGTCACACTACGGCGGCTGACAATGATATCTCGGAGCTGATCGCGGGCCCTGACTGAGCTACACGTTTTAATAACTGCCAGGGCATGTGCAGCTGCAGGGCTGGGCCACTGCCCCGGGCTGGGGGACACTGGGACACTGCCCCAGGCTGGGGGAGGATGGGGTACAGCTCCCAGGATGGGGGATGCTGGGGGGTGCTTGCAGAGCGGGGGGATGCTGAGCAGGCTGGGGGAAGCTGAGGTGCCCCTCCAAGGCTGGGGGATACTGAGG